CTGGTCATTCAGCACAAGAGGGCTTAAAATCTAGAATAAGGAACCCTGATGGTGTAGAGGGGTGAGCAATGAGCTGCTAACCAAATGGTTAGTGGTTCGAACCCATGAGCAATACTCCATGGGAGAAAGATGTCGCTGTCTGCTTTGTGAAGATTTAGTCTTGACAACCCTAGGGAATAGTTTTACTCAGTCCAGTAGGATCACTACGGTCACTATGAGTCTGAATCAACTCAATGACAGTGTGCGGAGTTTGGTTTTGTCGTTCATCTGCTTGATTCCAAAGCCCATACTCTTTCCATTTTCTTGTGTTGCTTCTGTGGCTCTTCTTCAGCTCACTGCCTTCAGGTTTCCTGTGAGCAATGCACTACAATGAGCTCTAGGAAAGTAGATGACCCCACACTGAACTTCTGATTATCATGGATAGAAAAGCTGGGTAGCCTGGTTGTTTTCTTTTTGCATCCCAAGCTAACATTACAACTTTTTTCCTCATTTTTCCCTTTCACACATTTGCTCCTCTCCCCACAACACACAACAAAACAACATGGGTTTGTCCCTACTTGATTTGCAAACTCTTGTTTCTTCTTTGTGCAATTTGTTCCAGTATCTTGGAAGAGAACCCTTTTCCAATATCTTCATGGCTAGTTACATATATGATTCAAGGTCCAGTTCAAAGATCATCTCCTTCACAAAACACTCCAGATTCCCCACTTCTCCATTTAAAGGGTAGTATCGCCAATCTATGGGTGTATCATATTGTTGAATGGAAAACCAATTTGCTCTGGAAACTTTCACCCAAACCACACAAAACAAATAAATTTGCTTGACCTTTTATATTCTACTTCATTGAAGAACTCGTGACACTGAGAAAGTAAAATGACTAACATGCCACAGATTACCACAAGTTACAAAGGAAAAAAGGCACCTTTACAATAGAAATCTAGTGGATATTGCATCAATAATTAAGCTGACATCACTTGGCCTCTGATGTATATTGAAAGATACCTAAAATCACCAACGTAGCATTCTAATCACGCATATATAGAAACTTTAAACTATCACTGATAAAAAAAGACCAAAAATAAGGCTGGAGAGCCATTCTTCAGTTAAGGAGACAACTAAATGCAATGCAAGGTCCTGGTTTGATCTTGGATTAAAACAAATTAAAAATTCAAGACAATATTGGGGCAATTGGGGAAACCCAGATACGTATTATATGATAGTATTATAGCTACACTAAAGCTCTTGACTATGATAACTTTGTTATAGATATGTAGGAGTTCTTTGTCCTTGGAAAACACAAGTTGTAGAATTTAGTGAGTAAAGTGTCCTGATGGCATTTAAAACTCTCTTATGGTTAACAAAAAAATCTCTGCATCAATGTGTGTATAAAACAAACATGACAAAGTTAACTGGCAAATCTAAGTGCAGAGTATTTGGTTGTTCACTTAATTATCCTTAAAATTCTTTTTAAAATTCTGGTTTTTAAATAAACAGCAAAATAGAGTACCCATATTCTGCTTCCCAGAATTAAATATGAATCTTATCATAGTTGCGTCTAGTCATATTCACCCACACATATTCATGTATGTATATTCATATACACACAAATATACAATTGGGGAAATTATCCCTTTTGCCACCACCTCCTATTGTTATGCTCTTCCAGACGCTGTGAAATCATACTCTAGGCTATGGCCAACTTTACTAAGTACTGCAGATATTGTCTCCAAAAGTGCCTGTATTGGTTCACACTCCAACAGCAAGTTCTAAATTTACCATTTGACCATATATTCACTCAAGTGTGATACTGTTAAACATTTTTAATAAGCCTGATGGAAAAAAAGCTGTATCATTTATTTTAATTTGTATTTCATTAATTAACAGGGCAAACGAACTTTTCAATGCTAATCTTAGCGCCATTATCTCCTCCAAAGTTACTTTCTAAATTTTTGACAGAAGCAAATATATGGTTCTTTAGAATTCTTTGACTCAACCTATTGAATAAGTGAGTAAATAAGTAATAAAAAAAATTGACCTACATTACACAATAAAAGACTTAGCAAAAAATAAAAATTCTGTTTAAAAAGAGAGAGACTTAGTAAAATAGGAACTTTCCCCACAGACCTTTTCTTTCATTACTTCCTATCTGAGAATTAAGGATAATCAAAACTTACATGACAGTGTGGACTGAATGTGGGAAGAATGTTTACTCCCATATGCAACCAAATGCTCACAAAAATATCACACAGTGCAAAATAACTTCCTGTTTTTAAAATATGAACAACAAAAAAGATGCAATTCAACTCAATGTCCATAATATAATTTTTAAGATATTTTAACAGATGTACTTTACTCCTACAAATAATAAAACCTAGGTCCTATGCATAAACTCCCTCATTTATCCAGCAAATATTTACTGAGCATCTATTATGTGCCATAGAATATAATATAATGTCAGATAGATACATGCCATTCAGAAAATAGAGGACAAAGGATAACGAGAGTAGTAGAGTAAGGGCACATAATATGATGGGCAAGATCTCTCCCATGCAGTCACTTGAGAAATATAGTATGCTCAGTTCGGTTTACACTGTTTCAACACTAATCATTTCTTTCAAAAATAATTTTTCACCTTCCCGTGGTCTTGTTTTTTTTTCCCAAAAAGCATTTGCTGCAGTGGTTTTTCAGTTTTGCTACTATTGCGGAAGAGAAAAAAAAAAGTTTTTTTCACAAGATGTGATAGTTGCATTACAAGCGGGTGTGAATTTCAAGAGAGCATAATCAGAAAAAATGTTAGGGATAATTTACCAATGAGAAGTCTGATGTCAAAAACTACCCAAAAAAGTTAAATGGAATTTCAAGGAAATGACTACTCTTAGACTCCATAAGCTACATATTTACTTTCTATATTGGATTAAAAGGGTACAGTAGAACTGCCCCTACAGAGTTCCCAAGGCTGTAAATTTTTTTGGAATCTGACTGCCCCATCTTTCCCCCACGACACACATCCAGCTGCTGCTGAGTTACAACCTGACCTTTTGGTTAACCACCATGCAATTTAACCACTATACCACAAGGGTTCTGTAATAGCAATAGAAATATATACTCGTATTTGAACAGAGATCCTGCTGCTTCTCATTGAGGGTACAAAATTTTGGATCTTTCTTTAAAGGCTACATTAGTTATATGATTTTCAATAAAACCAGACACACAAAAGTTCCTTTCACGGGTTCACACAAATGCTTGGAAAGTTTTTTCCACTTGTAATCAGGAGGTGCCTTAATACAAAAATCTAAAGCCCAAAACATTCACTTCTCTTTCTTCCTCAAAAAATTTTGCTGATTCTCCAGTATCCTGAATGAACTGTCACCTATTCTGTTTTTCAAAACTATTATACTGATTGCAACCAAATCTTTGGTGAGGCCTTGGTGTTGTTGGGCTGGGATCCACAAGGTCCACAATTGGAAACCACCAACCACTAGCCACACTGGAGAAAGACTGGGCTTTCTACTCCAGTGAAAGTGAAATCTTGGAAACTCACAAGACCAGTTCTACACTGTCCTATAGGGTCCCTATGAGTCAGCCTGGTTTCATTCGATAGCAGTGCTTGTTTTGTTTTGTTTTACCTAAATCTTTATTTTTATTTCTCTAATTACAAAATTCCTTCTTTCATCTGAACTATCATCTTGTCCACGTTGTCTTCTTTCTTGTCTACTGATTCAGATATTTTCCCATGAAAACTTAGAGATCACAGAAAACTGATTTCTGCTTCAGATGTTGTCCATCTTTTGCTTTCCTAGGACTCCTTTGGCAGTTCCTGGAACGCTTCTAAATGCCATCTTTGCTTCTAAATGCCATCTTTGCTTCTAAATGCCATAAATACAAGGGATTACAAAGGAAACCAATTACACTAAAATGAATTATGAAAACAAATTTTTAAAGACATACTAACAATTTGAGATCATGGATGGATGGCTTTATTCCCACATTAAACAACATTTCCACGAATGGACTTAATGCCTACCATAAATTCAAAAGTGATAAGCATAAGTAATATTTTGGGGTATTTACAACACTTTGAGGTAGTTATGAACATACCGAAAAAATCTGTAATTTTTACTAATGACAAAGTCACATGCATTGCTAATATTCTGAAGTTTGTTGCCTACATTCCTAATTGAAGGAAAAGTTCTATTTCATTCAGCAATTAATTAAAGCTGCAATTATAGTAGATCCCAAGTCAAAAAGTCAGTTCAAAGTACTGCACAAAGTGATTTTTGACACAATTTTAAACTAAAAACTCCGTTAACCTAGCTCTCAGCCGAAGAGATCACAGTGCTTCCCTGTTTTTGTGCAGATTGACTTATAAAAAAACACGCTTAAAAAACAACAACACCCAACTGTTAATTTCTGTGATTTGCCCAGCTAGCGCCCCTTAAATGTTGCCGTCTCAGTACAAGGTGAAGTTGAAGGAAAGGGAATGAAAAGCAACCTACAGTCTCTCACCTCCAGACTTCCAACAACAAACGGAAAGATGGCAAATGTAGTTTGTATGTGCCTGGTGGGTGGGCTGCCCCCCTGGATACACAGGTCCAGTTAGTCAGAGTCCCCAAAACACGACATCTTCACCAAGAGCACACAAGAGGCACTGCGTGTCCTCCTCGATTCTACGCTCAGTTCCCTTCCTGCCCGGTCGCTCCCTCTAGCCCCAACCTGAAGTCTCCCCAGGTCCTCCTGTCCCTTCCCATCCCCCACGCGTCCCTCCCTCCCGTCCATCTCAAGCTATCCTGGTCCCCGCACGCCGTCACACCCCTCCTTTGGGCGCAACCATGTCTCCCTCCACTCTCCCACCATATTCGACGACACTGAAGGGAAGGGGCCAGGGCCCCAAGAGTCAGCAGGACCGAGGAGGCTCAGGCGGAGGCCCTAGGCCGGAGCAGCGAGGACGGTGGGCAGGGGACCAAGCGCCCAGCGCGGGTTCACTGGGGGCGTTTACTCACCAATGTGTTCATGCAGAGGAGGGCATGGAGGTCCACCGGAGGGCTACTCGGGGTTAGGAACTGTCGACCTCGCCGCGAACTGCCACCGCCGCCGCCGCCGCGTCGCCACCAGCTAGTAGCCTTCGCTGCGTCCTGCGGCGGCACTACCGCCACGGCGCCACGCCACCACGCTTGCGCGTTGCCGAAGGGGCCGCTGGGACTGGTAGTTCGGCACGGGCGGACAGCGGTGCCTCTTCCGCTTTGCTTCCTCCTGCCACATCTGCTGCTGGCTGGAGCGGCTACGGAGAGTCCTGCGCATCATAATGTTGACCCATCTGAGGAAGTAAATGTAAAGTAAAACAAACGAAAGTGCTTTTTTTGGTTATTGTTGTTATAACAACTCTTATTCATCTAGGGCACATACCTTATTAGAATGGCACATAAAAGCACACCATACCCCTCACATAACTTTCCCTCACTTTGTCAAAAAGTTGTTGGTAATGAGCTGGTGTAATATCTGTATTTTCAGAATTAAACTTGGTTTCACAACCTATGTTATCAAGTTTAATTCATTAACCTAGCCATAGTTATTTTCATGAAATCAATTAGCATCCAATTTAAAAAAAAATAAATACAAACCATTCAGGGGTCATGTTAGCCAAATTGTGCAATAAAAGAAACCTTAAAATTGGAAGACACATTCAAGTTCAGCCCTGAGCAGGAATTCTCACTCATACGTTCCAGCGAGATTACAAGGTGCCCAGATTTTAACATTGGTAAAGCGGGCCACCATTGATAAAACTCATCCTGGCCAAATAGCTACATGACAGCCGAAAACCATATACCCTAGCTTGTCGTGCATTCTTTCCAAAAACGGGGACTTTTTTAAAACGCCGCGGGACACGGAAAAAATTGTTGGAAATCGGGACTGTCCTGCCAAAAGCAGGATGTCTGGTCACAAGAAACTTGACTGTCGACTGTTCACATTTCAGGGAACTCGCTGCCTCTGGACATGTTATCAGGAGAGACCAGTTCCTAGGAAAACCTCATGCTTGGTAAAGTTGAAGAGCAGCGACAAAAAGAGGAAGACTCTCCACAAGATGGATTGACACAGTGGGCTCCAACAAGACAACAATTGTGAGGCCGGCCCAAGATTAGGCAGCGTCTAGTTCTGCTGTCCATGGGGTGTCTGAGTCAGAACCAACTCAATTTCTCCTGACAGCAACATCTACAGCACTGCTTTAAGGAATATCATCTGCTCCACTGTTGAAAAATGGTAAAGGTCAGAAGGTTCTGTGTCCTGCTGAGCAGAAATCTGCTTCCCTTTTATATCTTTCTAAGGCTATGCTGCCTAGAGCAATATAGAATATTTTCCAGTTGACAACCCTTCAGAAAAGTGAGCAATGGTGTCTTCCAATGCTGGTACTCCTAAGGCAAAAAACGAAAAGAGAGAAAGAAGGAATTAACAATTTTCACAATTATGTTAAATGTGAATCAGCTCCCAAACTGCTTTCCATCGAGTCATCCTTCTTGAAGAGACCTCTTTAAATCATTAAAATGGTCTCCATCATTATTGCCTCATTAAGTTCCACAATAGTATTCGCCAGTAGGCTGGTCAGGTATTATTGCCATCCTGTTGCCATTCAACTGCTTCAAGAATGCTATTTGACCAAAGAAGATTTTTTAGCTCCATTATAAGGCATAGTCTAAAGCACCAGGGAGATGAAAAAAGCAACAGATTACAGTTTGCAATCAAGGAGAGAAGAAAAACTTCCACAGATTAAGGGTCATCAAAATAAACTAAGGTACAAATTGGTATGAGATTCCTAAAGAGGCCTTATCAAGTTGAGGGACACGATAGCTTTATGAAAGGCATGAGCCTTAGGAGTTAGTGGATAGCTCGATTTCCTGGGGAAATGGTATTGAAGGGTTAGGACATTGAGTTTGAACCCACCGGCTGCTTCGTGGGAGAAAGATGAGGCGGCTTTCTGCTCCCATAAAGATTTACAGACTCCGAAACCTATAGGTCACCGTAAGTAGGAACCAACTCAGTGGCAGTGAGGTTTGGCTTTTGTTGTTGTTTTGAGGAAAATGTTTTGAGGAATTTCCCATTGGGATTCTGAAACACAGTACTGTAGGAAGGCTAAGAACACAGTCCAGGGAAAAGTGAAAGAACACAAGCTTCAAAAGGATCTTAAAAGGTAGTAAAGGAACGTCAGTGCATGCAGTAAATAAAAGGCGCACTAGGGTAAAATGGCCAATTAATATCTCTGAGCCTTATTCTGTCACCTACAAGTGAAGAGCTTGCACTAGATAGGCATTTTTCAGTCTTTTTTTTTCTTTTTTCCCACTCCAGCACATCAAAGAAATACAACACTCCCATTAGAAACTATGGATCACTGCAACAGTGATTTTCACAAAATGTGAAGTAGTTATTATTCCTACCACCTTTGATTGGTGTTAGTTGCTGCCAAATTAGCATTGATTTGTGGGAACCCTGTGTACAGCATAACCACGCATTGCTCAGTTCTATGAGCATCTTCTTGATCAGTGCCATGTGTGAGTCCATGTGGCAGCCACCATGTAGCACTAAGGAGCTCATCTAGACTATTTCAAATAATATTATGTTTTAATCCATAGGGTTTTCATTACTAAATTTCCAAAGGACGTCACCAAGTCTTTCTTCTTAGTCTCTCTTAGTGTAGAAGCTCTGCTAAAAATTTCTCCATGGAAGACTGGTATTTGAAATACTAGTGGCATAACTTCTAGCATCAGAGCCACCACAGAATGACAGGCTGACCATTCAGTAGTGGAGTTACTTTTCACACATGGTGGGGAAAGCAAAATGAAACCTTTCTAAAAATTTGTAAACAGAGCTTCCTATGGGTGGAGAACCCATCTTATTTAGCACTGTCTCCCTAAAACCTGGCACACTTCCTGAGATTTTATTTTTAGTAAACGGGATGAATAAACAGTGCACTCTTGCCCAGGCCTTTGTCTTTCCATTATAAGGCTCCTGATAGAAATAGGAAGATATTTATCCATAGTCACAAAATTGATACTGGATATCTTGGAGCTAAAATTTTCATAATCCCAACTCCACACACTCTGTTAAGCTACCTTTCCCCAGAATGACAAAACAACACAGTCAGAAATTTAAAATGTCCTCCTTCTATGTATGTACAGCCAGGCTTAAAAGTAAGCCAGGAAAGTAAGTGTTATGCCAATTTATTTGTCATAATGCTAAGGTCCCCCTTGCAGGTGTTTCTGAATCAAAACATTTTCTCTCCAGATCTGAAAAGGACATGGATGATGGTAGAGCTGAGGCTCAGAGATCCTCTAGTCCAACACGCTCATTCTTTTGAATTGGGAGCCTGTTGCTCAAGAGATCCTACTTAAAATGTGTATGCCTTTGGGAAGAGTAACACTTTTAAATATTAGGCATCCATACTTAGGAAAGAAACATGACAGTTAACCAACAAAAAACCCTACCAGAAAGAAAAAACAAGGCCAGATCAAAAGAGAAAGAAAGAAAAATTATGACGCGGGAGGACAAGATGAAAGAGAAGAAACAAGGTCTTCACCCATGATATGGTCTCATCTACTTTGGCACACAGTTGCTTTGAAACTGTAGTGTACATGTGGTGCAGAAATTCACAGCCATGTGGAAATGTTGGTCTTAATATATCATCAGAAAGAGGGAGTTAAATTATAAACTAGGATATAAGTAAATAAAACAATACTATAGATAGAAAACAATGCAGAGAAAATTCCTCTTTATACTATAAAATAACTCTGTAAGGTAGAATTGGGATCATGATAGTGAGGGGGAGGAAGCACTTAAGAACTAGAGGAAAGTTATACGTTTCATCGATTCTACCTGTACCCTGATTGGCTCGTCTCTTCCCCACAACCCTTCAGTAAGGGGGTGTCCAGTTGCCTACCGATGGGCTTTGAGTCTCCATTCTGCACTCACCCACCTTTACAATTATATGATTTTTTTGTTCTTTGATGCTTGATACCTGATCCCTTCGACAGCTCGTGGTCACACATGCTGGTGTGCTTCTTCCATGTGGGCTTTGTTGCTTCTGAGCTAGTTGGCCGCTTGTTTATCTTCAAGCCTTTAAGACCCCAGACGCTATATCTTTTGATAGCCGGGCACCATCAGTTTCCTTCACCACCTTTGCTTATGCATGTGTTTGTCTTCAGTGATGTATCAGGAAGGTGGGCACCCACTGATATGATCTTTAGTTCTTTGATGTCTGCTAACTGTCCCAATTCTACCTTACAGATCTGGCTAGACCAGAGGATGTACATTGGTACAGATAGCAACTGGAAACACAGGGAATCCAGGACAAATGACTCCTTAAGGACCAGCGGTGAGAGGGGCGATGCCTGGAGGGTGAAGGGAATGTGGGGTAGAAAGGGGGAACCGACTACAAGAATCTAAGTATTGCCTCCTCCTTAGGGGCTGGACAGCAGAAAAGAGGGTGTGGGGGTGGGGAGACATTGGACAGTGTAACTTATGACAAAATGATAATAATTTATGAATTATGAAGGGTTTATGAAGGAGAGGGGAGTGGGGAGGGGGGGAAATGAGCAACTGATATTAAGAGCTAAAGTAGAAGGCAAATGTTTTGAGAATGATGAGGGCAACAAATGTGCATATGTGCTTGACACAATGGACGTATGTATGGATTGTAATAAGAATTGTATGAGCCCCCAATAAAATAATTTTTTTAAAAAGAGGAGCTGATAATAAGGGCTCAAGTAGAAAGATGATGTTTTGAAAATGACAATGACAACATATGTACAAGTTTTCTTGATGTAATTGATTTATGGGTTGTTATAATAACTGTAAGAGCCCCCAATAAAATGATTTTAAAAAGAAATCTGAAATTCTATTTTCAAATGCAAAACTGAGATGTCATTAGCCCTAGTCCATTTGGTTATTAAAAGGATAAAACCAAAAGATGCAGGTCAAAGCTTTGTTTACTATAAAGTGACAAACAGATATAATTGTACTGTGACATGGTTCAAATTTAAATAGTAGGTACACATTTAAAAGAATAAAAAATTGTATCCAGATATATGCAGTCCAGAGCACATTATACATACTGTT